GCTGTCTGTAGTCCGGCATAAATTTACCGCCGTTTCGTAGGAATCTACTGCGTCCATCTTCAGGGGGAAAACAGTAAGGCAGGCAAATTTGGTTCTTGTTCCTTACCGGCTGTTTGCTTGGCTCAAAATTCGACCATGATGATGGAGGGAATATTTTCACCCGAAATGTTTGTGAATGTCTACCGGCTCACATGGCAGACAAGCAGCACCCAAGGGAACAGCAAGATCTGCTCCCAAATTACAATGATGAGAGTATGGGAGAGCTGGACTGAACACAGAATTTGAGGTTATCAATTCACTGAATATTATGACTTGGCTGTTCTGCGTTGTGCAGCCCTTTAGCCTTGTAGATGGTTATCAGCATTTCGGAGAATCGTAGGGCCTACTTCCCTGAACACAAAATTTAAGTGGGGGGGTGGGGGACATAATCCTCAAACAGTCGCCGTATTAAGGGCACTCAGCGAACACCTTTCTCTCTCTCCTGAAGCTCACAAGGTGTTGGGCCCTCACCGAAAGCAGGAGAATGGACAAACGGAATGGGGCGAAATGAGCAGTTTAGGCTCAGGGGGTCACGGTTCGGGGCTACACATAAAGGCAGGCAGGCAGAACCGCCATACATGCTGCAGCTGTGCCAATTAAACAACCTCAGTCGCATCATATTTGAGGTTTAAAATGGATCTTGGAGAAACAGGACTGAGAGGTATGGACTGGATTCATCTGGCTCAGGATAGGGACCAGTGGAGAGCTCTTATGAACACGGTAATGAACCTTCCATCTCTCTATGGCTCTACAGTCCCTTGTTGGACCTTGGTCGCTTTTTCAGTTTCTTAACTCTATACACAATAGTTAGGACTCCTTGGACGGGGGATCAGCCAGTTGCAGCATAACCAAATGAAGTCCCTCAGCCTATATAGAATCAGAGGTTTGGATCAAGTGCCCAAGGACATGGCCGAAAGCGGCCCAGTACCTGGAGAGACTGGGAAAATAGAGGACAGTCAGTGTCCACGCCGGGATTCTAACATGCCACTTCCTGAAGCGTTAATATCTGAGCCAGCTGCTTCCTAAATTGATCTGTACAATGAATCCGGTTCCATTCCATCATCACCATTTGGTATACACATTTTGGGCCAAGATAGCGCAGTCGGTATAGCGACTGGCTACTGGCTGGACAACCAAGGGGTCGGAGTTTGAGTCTCTGCGGGGGCAGGAATTTTCACTTTTCTATGTAGTCAAGATTGGCTCTGGGGCCCACCCTGATTCCTGTCCAGTGCGTAGCGGGGGCGCTTCCCCCGGGGGTGAAGCGGTCGGGGCGTGTAGCTGACCACTCACCTGCAGCTAATGCCGAGGTCAAGAAAATGTGGGTCTACACATCCACCACCCTGTACGCCTTCATGATATAGTGCTTAATTAGTTAAGCACAGGAACAACTTTGCCTTTATGCCCTTGAATGTGACACCGTGCAGTGTGGTAGAAGCGTTCTATTCTGGATAACGCTTTCGGTAACGTGAAGTGGCAGAAACGTCACCTTTCCTTTTTTCAGGGACAGGCGCACAAAGGAATCAGGTCCGATAGATACCGACCACTACTCTTGGAATTTTAGTAATGAGTTCACCTGCCCCACCCTTTTCTGTTGTTGGTGGCATTTCTTGACATCTGCTCCCAGCTGTCTTTCCTTTTGAATGAATTCAGCGTTCCCTGTGTTGTCAAGACAGGGTCATTTTTACAGCCGTAGTTTCAAAATTATTAAATGGATTCCGGTGCTTTGGATGCATTTGTTAAAGAGTACTTTGTTCTGATGAGTGGCATAATGTTCAGGTACCTCCCCCTCCCGAAGCAGATAGTCATATCCGGGAAATTATAGGAGAGGCTGTTGGAAAGGGAAATCGTGAAAACGCGAATGTTCGTAGTACTCGTATTGGATAAGGCAAAATCCGACACAGAAAACATGAGGCTTAAGCTTTACGGCAGTCAAGCATACGACCCTTCAAGTGACTAAACTGCCTTTGTAGCCTGAGCTACTTATGATACGGCATGTTCTGTTGCCCTCAGCTAGACTGGCAAGATGCAATTGTATTATACCATATAATAACATGTAAACTGTAAATAGTATGTACATACTGACAAGTGGCCCATTGCTGCTGACTATGACTTTGACATATGACAGACCCGTCCTCTCGTCAGAGAGGGCGCCTCACGTGGATAAAACCGTAACTACGTATCTAACAGCAACTAATATCTGGTCATGAGACGCAGATGGAGCTCGACACTAAGACGGACGGACTGACTGGCCGTCGGTCGCAACGTGACTTTGTTTCTGAGTTTCTTGTGAAGTTTACAATGTAACATACAAGCTGTCATACCTTTATGGAGATATAGAGTATCTAAGGCCACTGTTTATTGTGAGAACCATACGGAACACACAAATACACTCTGTGGGCAGAAAACTCAGTCCGTACCTCCCAGGAAACACATCACGTCTCCGCTACAAAGTCCTACCGGTTAATGCTGTTTAGGGAAACAGCCGCTGTTTATTGTGAGAACCATACGGAACACACATATACACTCTGTGGACAGAAAACTCAGTCCGTACCTCCCAGGAAACACATCACGTCTCCGCTACAAAGTCCTACCGGTTAATGCTGTTTAGGGAAACAGCCGCTGTTTATTGTGAGAACCATATGGAAGACACATATACACTCTGTGGACAGAATGCAGGCAACACTGTCCCTTAAAAAGCTGATGCCTTTCCTTAGTGTGGTCAACCCGACCCTTTTTTACGAGCGCGGCGGGGCACCCGTTCCACCTCTCCCCCGTTTCGACATTGTGCATAAATGATTCATTCCACATGAAGCCAAAAAGACAAGGTTGAACGATTGTTATAAAAGGCATAGATATCCAAATACATAATCACGTGCAGTAATGAGCGCATGCGCTGTGTTGGTTGTACCAAAATTTTATAGACTATTGTTGCTTAATATCTTGATGTATACTAATACTAATTAATTAAGTCACATGATTATACACTTCACGTCTGTCGGACCGAAGATACTTCATTCAGATACACACTGCGATGTATGATTTTAGTGCACAATGGACGACGTGGGATGTTGGGGCCATTTTGAACTTTATAGCCGATAATTTTTGGAAGGTCACGAACTTATTGTCTTACTTTCAGATAACCAAACGTGTGCATGAAGGTACTAAGTACTTACATAATTCAGATCTAAAGCAACGAAATCAAGATGAGTTCTCTATTTGGTGGTGAAAGGAAAAACTATGTAGAAAGCCAGGCGGAAGATAGACCCCCATCCCCACCCCCACCCTTTGTTCAGGTCGAGTTGCAGTTAGGCCTGAAGCGACTCACATTTCAGCTAACAATACACTAAGTGTAACGCAAAGTTTCTCCGTAACGCCCTAATTCAGTGAGTCATTTCCAGATTGAAATTGTGCTGGGATGTCAAGCTAAGAAATCTGGTAGAAATTTAAAGACGTTTCGGAGGAAAGTTGTGTCTTCATCTTCAGGGTACTACTTTAAAAAATTGTGCTAAAGTTTCGGTGTAAAGTACTGGCTCAATCTTCAGTTTCAAAGAGGAGGTTCAGCAGGCAACAGGAAGCAGTTCAGTCTCGTAATAGTTACTGACGTTTCGGAGATAAGTACTGTCAACATTTTCAGGGCTGAAGATTAACGTCCTGCTTGGTTCTTACCGGTTCCTTGATTACCTTACCCTTGGGCCGTAGAATATAAAGGTAGTTTGTTCTTCCGAAACGTCAGTAAACGTCTCCTAGAATACACGGCGTCATATATCAGAATACAGTACTCTCCACAGATACCGCTGTGAGACTCAACAGTCTACAATCGTCCATTCACTTTTTAACTGACTGACCGTCTTACACTGCCTCTAAGTAATTACTGAGTAAGAAAAAGCTATTCCTGTAACAGGCCGTGAAGGCCCGTAGGGTAGTGAGACGTCGAGGCTCCCTCATTTTCTCTAGGGAATCAGCTCATTAACGGTCGTGAGGTTGTCAGCCTTACGTTCCGGCCACCCTTTACCCCCCCTCGAAAGATTCCTGGTATCATTTCTGTTACAGGCTGAGTCGACCCCCAGGGACATAGTGCGGCTGGAAGGATTAGATTAATGGAAAAATCCCATGACCTCACCGGGAATCAAACCCGCCACCTTCTGGCTTGTAGCATAGTGCCTCAACTAACTACGCTACCTCGTGCCCCACTAGTAATTAACTGAGTACATTTATTAACCTTGAAAAGAAGAAAAGAACACAATTAAGATCCAGCTGCGAATTAACGATGCTTCGTATCAGTGCTGTGCACCTCGAAGCAGCGTTGTCGGACAGTCACGTCAGCCTCGAAATAGCATAAGCCGACAGTTCAGGTGTCCATTTATTTGCGAGCACAGATCCACTAGATATAATAGTATGCGCTTTGAATTGTACAAGCTTGTTACTGCTACTGACATCTGGAGTTGAAATGTGGATCTGACAACAGTGCTACATTCTTCCACCCGAACTAAGACTTGCTGCACCATACGTAAGTGGAACCAGGGACAATTATATCACATTCCTCACTATAAGCAACTAAGTCCATGGAATAGGGTTCATATGTGAGGCGCCAGGTAGGTTGAGTAGCAAAGGTAAAGGTAAAGCTACCCCTGTAACAGGCCGTAGAGGCCCTTAGGGCTGTGAGACGTTGAGGCTCCCACATTTTCTCTAGACAATCGGCTCACAGATGGCGGTAACTTGTCTCCATCTTCAGGATAGACTGACAGAACAGACGGGGTTGAATATGTGATAAGCGAAGCAAGTTAAAATGTACAAGGATGTATTCTACAAAAATAAAGCCCTCTCAGACATGAAATGCATATAAACATTGCTAACAAAACGAGTTCCTACCTCACGGAAAACATACTGTTCATTCCTACAGTCGTAGGAGACGTAGAAATAAACTTGTGAGCAAACTGCAGACTCTCTTCTTAATGTTACAGTTTGTGATGCTGCTACCCGGAGAACAACCGCAGTTCCTGAGGTCTGGCAATGCGAACTGTGCTAAACCTATCATAACCGCGGATCCTGTAACGGCTTTAGTGACACTGAAGCTCTCTTCAGAGGCAAAATTGTGGACGTAAGAGATGAGGTAAGACATTACGTCTAAAAACAAAACAAAAGAAAAGCGTATATTTGTTTTTCTTTTATTTTTATTGTTATTTCTATTAACCTTTCTGACTCGCCATCTTGTTGTTGTCGTCATCTTTTGTACGTCGTGTTGCAGTGCTTGTATGATCATCTATATATGTATAGGTTACTGTACGTTTTATTTTGTTCCTTTCTAGCCAAACGGTTCATAGAGAACATCAGAAATTTGATTTATGTTGCAAAGCATATCGACTGACAGTTTACCGATTACAATACGATCCTCTGCTACTTTCATCGCGGAGCATGCTGGGAGTTTACGGCAAGATGGCGTCCTTTGATAGAATGGAACTCTCAGGTCATGGCGACCTGATGATTATTAAAATAAATATAAATAACAGCCATTCTCTTAAAAGAAGCATCTGCAGGACTGTATTACCACCAACCAAGAATGGGTTTGCGATCCCTAAATGTTAGTGATCTATTCTTCTAAGTATGGGTAAGGCTGATTGCGGTTTTATGTAAATTCGTGCTCTTCCGTGAGATAAGGATGGCATTTAAACAGATTATAGTTCAGAACTGCGATAGCGGCGTAAGTCTAATGTGCAGTTTTATGACACTTCCAATTTAAGTGATATATGAGTTTGCAAGTAAGAAGATGTTTAATGATTTTTTGACGGTTTATGACAAGTTCAATATTCAGACGGTTCTATGTTCGATCATGAATGTTGGCACTGTTATCGAAAATAATTAAAACGTCGCAATGTGAATTTTAAAGGATGTGGCAATGAGCCGATATGCTGTAAACGTGCGGGCATTTGCCTGGAGTGACGTAGGAAACATATGAATATAGATGGGAGAATAATATTAAAATGGATCTAAAGAAAGTGTGGTCAACGTGGGAAATGGATTAAGAGATTTTCGTGTAGGGTCTAGTGGTGGGTTATAATCAATTACACTCATACAGTTCTTTATACGCATGGGGGTGTTGTCGATTTCACAGTTCTGTTACAAAATCCACAGGTGTGTTATCAAGTTGAGAGGCGTGTTACCAAAACTAGAGACGTTTTATCGAATCGACAGATGTGTTATAAGTGACGCACGCAGGTCTGTCTGTATGTTGCAACAGCGAAGCAGTATGCCAACAGCCTCCCCCGGCTGTGTCTCCAGCACCGCGGGGACCCAACACGCAGGCGCGCTGCGACCTGAATTCTAAATCTCCCCGGTGACAATGTTAGGACCAGGGGGGTGAGACTTGGATAGTGGAAAGGGAAACATGCAGAACTGCCCTTCCTACGCATCCTACATGAACTAGATAGTCTGGAAAAGATTGCAATCGATAATAACACACCAATTTGATTTGTCTCATTCTGGTCCGTCACATTAACAATCACAAAATTGATATCTTACAGTCCAGTGCGACACACAAGTTCCCCACACTTGGGTCTTCACTTCTTATTGTTAGTTGTGTTGTATGTACACAGCACGCACGCACGTACACTACACAACTAACAATAAGAACACACAACGCAGAGAAATATCGACATCTCCTACCGTCCGGAGAAACAGCAACATGACCCAATGTTGGTTCACGATTTTAACATAATAACTAACTTTTTAAACACAAAAGAATTTTAACACAATTTAAATACATAAGGAAGCTATTTTAAGAAAAGTAAACATCACATTGCGTGCAGTGGGAAATCCCAATCGAATACCCAGAAAAGACGCCTAAACGAAACAACATCTTATGTAAATCTACACGTCAACGTGAATGCAAAGGGCAAATTGTGATACAGTGAGCACTATTTATAACCTGCTCGTACAGGTGCGCCTCTGAAGATGATTCTATTGAACCGAAACATGTAAGGCGAGTGAAGACCGAAGTGTGGGGAACTTGTGTGTCGCACTGGACTGTAAGTTATCTGTTTTATAATACACCAAAAGCAATTAATCGAATCGCTAAGTCTGAGCCAATCAGAGAATCTTGAATTTCCGTTGAAGGCTTTGGGCGTTAGCTCAGTAATACTGCGTAGTTTGTAACGTTACGTGTGCCCCATTGAGGTATGTCGTGCAATTAATTAGATAGTAAGGATTTTGATTTGATGTTCTGAAACGAGAGTCGACCTTTACGCATGAATTTACATCTGTGTGTTACCTATGTATATGGATTATTATGCTTACTACGTCCAGTGAAATTAAAAACAAAGATGACGTCAAAAAGTGTTGCTACGATATTTCATCGAAATCGTATTTCTATATTTTAAGCATCTTTCGGTGTAGCCTAAAGAAGGACAGTAGAATCTCAAGAAAGTGAGAGTGTACTGTGATTCTGTTGTAATTGTTGTATTGTTTCTTGCAGGACAGATGGGAAGATTAAGAAAATGTTTTGCTCCTGGGTGTGTGTCATGCAGTGAGCACACTGAAATAAAATTCTTCTATTTTCCCAGGGATTCATCACGGTATGGGCTAGATGTAAAATGTTATTATAAAACATACTGTAAAATTTTGGCCAGTGTTATTAAAGGAGCTAAAAATCTTCATTATAATTAATTTCTAATTCTAGTAACAAAATTAAAGCCACCTGGACATTATAAAATCAGACACAGGTAGAAAAATTAATAATGCAGGTAAATATTTATGGGAAGTTAACTGATAATCATGATGTCATTACAGATTCTTTTAATAATTATTTTTGAACAATAGCTGACAAGATCAATACCAATAATGCAAACGTTAGCCACATTATAGAGTCGGATGCTGACAAATATTCAAATTATCTGTCTCGAACTTTCACGATTCCATTTTCAAAAATTAAACTGAACCATACCTCTACTAAAGAAAATGAAAATATAATTAAGTATTTAAAATAGCGGCCTCCTTAGTCTAGAGGTAACGTTCCCACCTCATGACTCGTAGTACGCGGGTTCAAATACCCGGCGGAGGTCGTCGAATTTTTAAGGGCGGAAAAATTCAGGGAACAAGTCCTCCGGGAGGGACTTTAAGCCGTGGGTCCCGTGTCGTAGCTTTACGGCACGTAAAAGAACCTCATATCTCCAAAGGAGGTCACTGAGCCAAATTAACGGACGTTTCCCGCCCAACAGCAGTCTCTAATACCTCTGGTAGATGGGGGAAGCATTATAGATACCTCTCATATAGTAGAGCCGGTCTCGCTGGCTGGGCGGGACTGATGGTAAGCACCAGTACCTGTAGGACAGGTGTCAGTGCATGGGGAAACCCACCCTCTCCAATAACTAACTAACTAAGTATTTAAAATCCAAAAAAATGTAGTGGATATGATGAAATTCAGCACGCACTTCATTAGCTCCACATTAACATATTTGTAACAGATCTCTTTCAACTTGTGTCTTCCCCACTTGGTTGAAATATTCAGAAATAAAACCATCATTTAAAAAGAGATAAAACTAATATGACTAACTACAGACCTATATCATTACTGACATTGTTTTCAGAAGTTGTTGAAAAGGTTATATATGCAAGACTGCACCAACATATAAAGATTAACAACATAATAGCAAATGAACAATATGGTTTCAGGAGTAATTCATCTACAAAAATGGACTCACATAAATTAATTAATGATACATTAAATGTACTTAACACAATATTAGTTGGTGGCATTTTCTGTGATTTGAAGAAAGTTTTTGACTGTGTGAATATCTGTCTGCCTGCCTAAAATAGAATTTTATGGAATAGTTGGTAAGGCCAATGCATTGATAAAATCCTATCTCAAAGATAGGTACCAAAGGGTTGTACATTCATTTTACTCATTGGAGGAATATTTTAACTTCAATATTAATTAATGATCTTGGTCTGTTATACTCTGGATGCCTTTTTATGTTTACTTTTATGTTTCATTATAATAGTCTTGTGTCATTAGTGTGCTGCATTCTTTTACATTTATTTTTTATAAGTGTGTTAATGATTTACTCACTGTGATTTGTCTTTGATAATATGTGTAATTGTTATGGATTAAGTATAATTAATTTGTATTGATATAATTGATGTGACTTGTCCTGTTGTTTTTGACTATTACTATATCCACTGTTCTTCCAGCCATGTAAGGATTCATGGAATGTAAATAAATGAATGAATGTCTGTTTTAGTATGTGCTGCAATGTCTTCTTTCTGTTGCTTTATACGATGAAGAAATTAAGTGTAGCCAGTGTCTGCATTAAATGAATTAAACATAACCCCACAATGTAGCACCTACACCATGTTTGTAATGTTTACTGATGAATTATTTCAGGGTTTTGAGACAGGGCTATGGTATGGGCAGGAGGAGTTGGATTATCCTGTACTACTGATTCTCCTAGAATGCTGTACCGCTGATGACTGAAGCAGCCGGCAGAGGGCCACAGAGAGGATGAAGATACTGACATATCAGTAAGCCATTAGGAAAGTAATGCTTCTTCATTTTTCCCTTATAATGTCCTGCCCATACCAGCCCTGGAAATTGACAGAGAGTAGTTATGGAATTACTGGAAGAATATATGTGTGCCAACTAGTCACATGAGCACCAATAAATGTTTCATAAGTTGGAGAAAGTAGCCCTGGTGACAAGCAGTTGCAGTGCAGCACCAGAAACTACTGTGCAGCGAATGATAACATCGTCATCCACAATTAAATTACATACAAGAGACTTATTTTGAACTTGAGCTCCATCTCTTCCCCTCCTTGCAAATATGTTTCCTTCGTCTCAGAATATTAGAACTTCACTGGGTCAGAGTTCATTCTGGCCTTTATCTTCAAGTAATTATATTTCAATCGAGAATTGTGTGGGAAATTGTTTTCTGACACATGGGTCTTGTTAATGTGTAGGTAAGAATGACGAGGCATTACTTTATAATTGACTTGCAAAGTTCAGGTTCTCCACCTCAATCTGAAACTCTGAGAAGCAGAATCAGTATCAGGGTTGAATGTGGGTAGGACTATTTATGTAATTTCTTTAACTATTTAATTTTTGTTACATTGTTATTCACTTCTGTTGTTATAGGTTTATTCCTTCTCTTGCTTTCGCCATATAATGCTACCTGTACTGGACTGGTGAACATGAACAAAAGATTTTCAATAGTAATTGCATTTCTTCAACATATATTATTAATTTTTGCTATATAATCGTATCATTACTGAACTGGAATTTGAATAGATACCAAATTTTCAGTATTCATTATATTTCTTTGAGATATGCTATTATTTCCGCCATATTATTCTGCCCAGTGATGAACTGGTGAAGATGAATATATCAGATTTTCTTACATCATTAAATGCAGTCTTAATCTTGCTGACAAAAGTGTATTTCACATTCTCGAATTCCATCATTCTAATGAAAATGGGAACATGAGTATTGTTGCTTACAATACACGATTTATAATACTTAAATGTAACCGAGAAACTGTGTTCTGTATGGCTTTCAAGTGTAAGTAATGAGGAAATTATGACGCTTAATATATGTATCTCTGATGGAAACAGAATTTTCTTTCAAGTTTCCCTACCTTCAGCTTTCCTAAATACAAGAGTTCCGTGTATGTCACAGTTCACAATGTTCAGTGCCTTTGGTTAAAGAGGTGTTCCACGTGAAAGAAAGGTTATGACTTTCCGGGCACTGGTGACAGACTTTCTCCAGATAAATATTTGACAACCTAATCTCTTGTTCTCCAGAGCTGCAGAGGCTTTTATTCCGCTTTTTTTTTTGTGGAAAGTGTGGGTGACCACGTTTAATAGCACTTCACTCAAATCCAACAAAATTATATGGGTGAAGTGATATTGAACTTACTTATGGAGCCGAGCCCTTCTTGAGAAGCCGCCAGTTTTGCAGCCACTCAAGAACTTCCCAGCGTTTTATGGAACCCGAAGGTTCATTACCGTGTTCACAAGAGCCCTCCACTGGTCCCTATCTTGAGCCAGATCAATCCTATCCATACCATACCATCCTATCTCTCTAGGATATAGTTTAATATTGACAACCCACCTACACCTTCGTCTTCCCAGTAGTCTCTTTCCTTCTGACTTTCCCACCAATATCCTATACGCATTCCTCGCCTCCCCCATTCGTGCTACATGCCCTGCCAACCCCATTCTCCTTGACTAGTGATACTGAACACAGTTCAAAAATAGAAATAGGATGGGGGGGGGACATCTACAGTACAAGAGATCTGGTTGTAAAAGAATTTATTACTATTCTAGCGAACAAAGAATTGGGGGGGGGCACTCAAAATAGTTGCTATTTTAGCATTCCTTCTTACCGATTATGCTCTCGGCCCTACCGGCCATGTTAATGCAGGATGCGTAGAGAAGGCAGAAGAATTGCACCGTGGTGTCATGGCGGCCATGTTGCCCACCAATAACATGGGAGTTTCACGGGGCTGCCCAGTACCTCTTGCCCTACCCTATAATATGAATTCTTCAGAGGAGCGGTTTGCACAGCCCAATATATTTTGTGTGTACTGCGTCCTGTGCTGTGTCCTTCTCTTGTGGCTGCGTGCGTTGTATTGCTCACGCACGCAGCCACAAGAGAAGGACACAGCACAGGACGCAGCAAACACAAAACATAGGAGGAGCGACTCCCATAGAGGACGATTGCTATAATACGCGAGTATAAAATGAGACGTATGAGATGATAAATCTTAACAAAAATTTTACTATATAAATTTTATTATAGTACATGATGATTATACGTTTTAAATCATTTTATAAACAACACATGATGACGAGCAGTGCAATAGTTTAACGAAAGTAAAACACCTGGGGATGGAACAGTGATGCCAAAACATGTAGTGAAGTGACAAATGGGTTTGTGTGCACTAGAAGACGGTCAATTTTTGTTGTTAACTCGCGCTGATTTACCTTTGTCCCAAGTGATTAACCTTTACCGGCGGAAGTGCCTCCATCGGGCTAGTGATGACTATGGTCGTCTTGGCAAAAGTAATCCGTTTTGGCATTTCGGGCATTTTAACTCCGCTAGTGAAAGCGCGCGCACACGCCGCTAGTAGAAGCACATGCATAGTCCTAAATAACTGTTTCTAAATTTAGCAATTATCAGACGGACTTGACTAAAACCATAATAGAGGAATTAAATGAATACCTAAGTGAACAACAGCGAAAAAGAATATACGTATGAGTTACGCCCAAATTCATCCACGAGCCAGTCCTTTTATTGCAGATTCAGCAGATTAATGTGTTAAAAATATATAGTAAAATTTCGATGTACATATCTTTTGTTATCTGCTTGATGTATATATAGGCTGAAATGAAAATTCAGTGTTCGATTTCACTATGAACGCACAGAAAACGGATCGCACTCTGTATCTCAACCACGATGCAACTGTCTGTTCACGACCATAGAAAGGGCAATAATCTCTTGCAGAATATAACGGAAGGTCTTAGCACTTAAGAAGGGACCCCTGTAGCTTTCTTTAGAATAGCCATTCTATCATTATTCTGTCCTTCAGTCAAAAGATTCGAAAATCCGAAGAGTGTAAGCAGTGCTAGCGGAAGACCACATAATTTAATTGCTTCTATCTGTTTTATGACTCCAGGGACTGCTAACTTTGACAAGTGTTACAAATAGAAATGAATTTATAATGCAGAACAAGTCTGTGAAGAACTGGCAAACAATTTTTGCAGTACGCATCAAAATTAAAAGAATAAAAATGAAAATAGAGTATAACCCTTTGTATAAAAATTTTCAAATCATCCGTTATAATATGCGACACTATGTTCTTTGGTGATACAAACAAAGTTAATTCCATCCATTTATCATAAAAATTGAGTTATATAGAGCATAAACACAATGCTTAAAATTGTTTAAGCGTGCTAAAACGAACGGACATTTAAATGCAGAGGAGCAGCGGGCATAAATAAACTCCGGCCAGCTCAAGCTTAACACCATTTCAGAAGTCCGACGTTTAAAGGTTAAAGAGCTGAGTAATATCAAGGGTGGCCGGTGGTCTAGAGCAAGGGTCTCCAAATTACGGTCCGCGGGCCACATGCGGCCTGCGAACTGATTTTATCCCGCTCGCGAAAGAATTCTGCAGAAATGCGCCAGTTGAACTAATTTTCCAATGAGTACTGGTAAATGTGATTCCGAGCTTATTGACCTGACATATTATATTACAGTTCGATGGCTTAGCTGTGGAAAGGTTATTTCGCGCTTCTTTCAGCTCAGGAAAGAAATTGATATATTTCTTACCGAGAAAAACCATCACGAACCAATTTATCAGATACCAAGTGGCTTTGGAAATTAGCAGGTTTGCTGATCTGGTGAATCATATGAACCATTTGAATTTAAAGTTGCAGGGTGAAAATAAATTAGTCTGTGATTTATTTGCACTTATCAAGGCATTCAGAAGCAAAGTTGCTACTTCTGGAAAGGCAAGTGAAAAATTGTAACTTGGTTCATATGCTATACTGTGCAGAGTTGCCTAAAAGGGGTGAAACAGAATTTCCTTCCTCGTTTGCAAATTTAGTCATTTCAGATTTGAAAGAACAATTTTGGAAGCTATTTGCTGATTTGAATTCCACTGCTCAGGAAATTAGATTGTTTCAAAACCGTTTGACTGTGATGCTGCAGATGTCCCAAGTAAAATTCAAATGGAAATTATTGAACTTCAGGAAAGGCAAATACAAGGAAGGAAATTTGATCGAATATTATAAATTTCTGAACTCTGAGCAATTTCCAAACTTAAAGAAATTTGCTTGTAAATTTATATCCATGTTTGGGACGAAATATCTGTGTGAACAAACTTTTTCCCAGATGAAGTACATCAAGTCGAAATACAGGGCAAATTTATCCGATGAACATTTAAAGTCGCTAAATGTGATTAGCGTTTCAAAATTTGATCCTTAATTTAATCAGATTTTAAGAACGCAAAAAGAGTTCCATCATTCACATTAATTGTTTTATTATAATTTGTGATGAAAATATGAGCATTTGCTGCTACTCTCTGATGTCATTAATATACGATAATTTAGTCTCGTGTACTTTGTATTTAGTTTATGAAATTCTGTGCCTTCAATAAAACTCATATACCTAGAGTTATTAATTTCTCATTTTATCCCACCCGTTGAAAGTGCTGAATTACATAATGTGGCCCGCGGTTCGAAAAGATTGGAGATCCCTGGTCTAGAGGTAAAGTGTATGGATTAGAAGTTTAGTGGTTGGAAGAAATGACTATTTTTATGAAAAAAAAAAAAAGAATGTAAGAAATTTGTGCATGTAGGAAGCAAGTGGTACTACGTGTATATGAGGAAGGTAAAGGTAACAAATTTGTATAGATCTGGTGGTACGTGGGAAAGACACTGGCGTTGAATTGGGAGTGTACCGGGTTCTAGACCACGATGTCTTTTGCAGCTATAAACCAAGTCTTATAATATAAGGACGATCGCAGACAGCTACTGCATACGTGTTCTGGTGGTCTAGCGGTAAGGCACCGGCGTTGTAAATACAAGGTTGGTGGTTCGAATACAGAAGTATTTTTGTAATGAGATTTTTATGGAATTATATAGCGAAATGTAACATAAGAGGAAGATTAAAGCTCAAAAATTTCCGTGGCATCGGTAGCCTAGTGGTAAAATACCGGCGTAGTGAACAAGAGTTGGAAGGTTCGGAACCAAGTATAGTTTTGTGATTTAGAAAGTAAGTTAATCGATTTTTCTGGAATTATAGTCGAAGATGTAGCTTAAGAGGAAGATAAAAGAAAATAAATTCCAGTGGTGCTGGTGGCTTAGGGATAAGACATCAGCGTAGTGTTCAGAAGGTCCCTGGTTCAAAACCAGTAGGATTTTTGTGAAAAATAAAATGGAAAGAAGTTAGGAGATAGGGTAAAGGCGGAGGGAGAGATAGAGGGAGGGCCCGGGGTGAGGGAAGATTTTTTCATTTTTTTTCGGCCGGTCATTAAGACACTCAACCTAAGCGGGT